CTCCTCAAATTTTTTAGATATGTTCAGCATCTCCTTCATTTCTTTTATCATTTCTTCTTTTACCTGAGAGATTATTTCTTCTTTGATTTCCTTTAAGGCTTCCCAGAGTTGCTTCTTTATTTGAGTTACTATTATTTCAGGTATGTGGCATACATTTTCCTCTATGCACATGGCTCCTAGGCTTGCTTGGGATGGGCTGGATGCTTAAGACTGCATTTTGGTCTTTCGTTTTGTCATTTTCCTATAATTTTGAGCTTCAAGTATTATTCCAAGTGAGTTAGAGAGGTCAGCCAGGCTGGGACAGAATTCCTTGCCCCCTCCTTTACTCACTGATTTCTATAGGAAGTTGGATCCTGGGCCCCAGGCAAAGAAAACAGTTCGCTGGCCTAGGGCGGGGTTCCCTGTCTCAGCTGCACTTACTCAACCAACAGGAAGCTGGAACCTGGCCCCCAGGCAAAGAAGAGAGTTCCATGCCTCTGCTGGACTTACTTGACCCACAGGAAGCTGAATCCTGGGCCCCAGGCAAAGAAAACAGTTCACTGGCCTAGGGCCTGGTTCCCTGCCTCCGCTGGTCTTACTGGACAAACAGGGAGCTGGAGCCTGGCCCCCAGGCAAAGAAGAGAGTTCTGCCTCCACTGGACTTACTTGACCAAGCTGGATCTTGGGCCCCAGGCAAAGAAAAGTCTGCCTGTGAATTGGTTGTCAATTCAGTAAATATTCTTCAGCATGCCAGTGTTGCCTTTGATGATGGCCTATGGGACTAGAGTTAAGAATTGGGACCATGTAACTTTGCTTCCATTGGGAATTTGCTGGTGTTAACAAATAGGGGTAACTGGTTTGGCACTGCAACACCAGATTTAAAAAAAGAATGAGAAGTAAAATAGAAAAAAAAATCATGAAAGTCAGAGAAGATGCTTCCCTCTAATAGAAAGTAGGCAAGGAAGTCCTTTTTCAGTGATTCAAAATTCTGATTTGGTTCTTTAGTAAATAATGAAAAGCTATAAATTTTGGGGGCCCTCATTTTAAAAAAATTCTTTATATGTTCTAGATAGAAGTCCTTTGTCTGAGGGACAGTTGACTAAGATTTTTTCCCATTTCGTGAGTTTTCTTTTCACTCTGTTGGGGATTTCTTTTGACATGCAAAAACTTTTTAATAAGACAAGATCCTAGTTGTTGATTCTGGGAAGTATTTCCCTTGCAATTTGATTTTTGTTCATGAATTCTCTACCCACACCAATGTCTTCAAGATATCTACCTACTTTGTCTTCTAGCATATTTAGTGTTTCTGTTTTAATATTTAGATCTTTGGTCCATTTTGACTTTAGTTTAGTGCAAGGTAATAAGCTTGGGTCTAGTTTTAGTTTTTGGCATTTGGAAAGGCAGTTATTCCAGCACCACTTATTAAAAATCTAAAAATGGGAATCGAAATGAATATACACATCTCAGATGAAGAAATACAAATGGCAAATAAATACATGAAAAAAGGTTGAACATGAGATTCCATCTTACTCCAGAAAAAATAGCCAGCATCAAGGAAACCATCAATAAGAAATACTGGAGAGGCTGTGGGGAAAAAGAAACTCTTCTACACTGTTGGTAGGAGTGTAGACTTGTGCAGCCACAGTAGAAATTAGCCTGGGGGTTCCTGAAAAAGCTGGGATTGGAGGTCCCATTTGACATAGCTGTTTCACTTCTGGACATATTTTCAGAAGAATTGAAAACATCATAGCACAGTGATATATGTGCACCTATGTTTACAGTAGCACAATTTATCGTACCTAATCTTGGAAACAACCCTAATGCCCATTAACTGAGGAAAGAATAAAAAATAATTATGGTATTTTTATATAATGGAGCACTACTCAGCTGTAAAGAAGGACCACATAGAGGCTTTTATAAGTAAATGGATGCTACTTGAGACCATACTTATAAGTGAAATAAATCAAACCACATGTGTAAATGCTATATTGTCTCTCTCATATAAGAAACCAAAAGAGTAAATAAGCTACAAAACCTACAATTAAAATGGTGAAAAGTTAAGAAACTGCTCAGAGAGGAAAAAATAACTCAGGGAAAAGCAGAAAAGAAGGAAGAGAAAAGAAAAAACATGTATAATTGTATATACACTTTATGATTACTAAGATGATTGTACTACTAATTAGTTTTGAAACAAAACAGTTAACATTTGTAGGATTAGATAAATTTTGCATGTCCATATTTGGTAATTCAAGTAACATCTTTGAAGATAACTATGCAAAATAACAACCTTTGTTATGTTTCTAATACCTTGTTTTTTTATTTTTATTTAAACAAAGATTAAACAAAACAGAAAATAGGTAGAAATAGTACATACGTTCAGAGGAAAAAAACAGTAAGAAATCACTAGTTGATGTTGTCGTTTTACAAATAGTTGTTCAAGGTACAAAAATGGAACATGTAAAGTGGGAATTCAAACAGAGAGACTGCAAAAAGTTCTAATCAACTGTCCAACAAAAACTTAGTAACATGGTTGTCAGTCCTGTACATTTAAACATACATGCAGTTATCCATATCTTCATTTGTGTTTAGATTAAACAAACTAAAGCAGGTTAAAATTATTCTGAATAAAGAATAATAGTATTGCTGGATTTCACATCATGACTCTCCATGATCAGCGCTGCATACTGTAGTGTCTTCTTTTTAAAACTGAATTTAAAGAAAGACTAAAAAAACAGAAAACTGGTAGAAATAATACATAATTTCAAAGAAAAAATAAACGATAAGAAATCACTAGTTGATGATTACAGATTATTTTCTTACAAATAGTTACTCAAGATACTAAAGTGGAGCATATAAATTGGGGATTCAAACAGTGAGACTGCAACCAGTTCTGTTCAACTATCCAACAAAAGCTTAGAAATATGGTTATCAATCCTGTACACTTAAACATATATGTAGTTACCCATATCTTCAATTATGTTGACTTTGAATAAACCCAAGCAGATTAATATCACTCTGAACAAAGAATAACACTATTGCTGGGTTTCACATTATGACACTGCAGGATCAGGACTGGCTATTTTAGTGTTTCCTTTTCTTCAAAGTATCTGTTCATTTCATCAATTGTCATAAGATCAGTTCTCATAAACTGTTTATAGATTCTACACATGCATGTGTAACATGTATTTTTTTTTTAATTTTGAAAGTAGAAAAAAATGCAACAGCTCAAGACAGAACAAAGCCAATCGAGACAATGTAGTAAAATTGGTACAGGATTTCACAGTAGAATACTGGGATAGTAGTAATAAGTATTATGGTATATCTCTTTAACTTAACAATAGCTGTCCAGTCAATTAAGTATTGTAAAATCAAACCAAAAATAGAACATTATAAAACCAATTGAGAATACTGAGTAGAGCAAAAGAAACATAACAAAACAGTGAAAACAACCTATGCCTTCAAACAGAAGGTAGAAGGAAATCCCCCATATTTGCTATACTGCATATGGTCATCCTCCCAAGAGATGTTGAAACATCTATCCCCAGTAGCTAAGGGGGGGAGGGGGCAGGTGGGAGAAGGGTGCTTGATTTTCAGCTCACCTGGCAGTAGGCTCACAGGTAATGGTTCTTCTCCAGGCCCAAGCTGCAGGTGCTTACCAAGAGGGCGGGTGAGTAAGTTGCCTGAGTCCCTCCATGGCCAGATCTCTGGAAATCTGTTGTCCTCCTGGCCCGCGTTGTGGATGCTTACCCAGAGGATGGGCGAATAAGCTGCCTGAGTCCCTCCATAGCCGGATTTCTGGAGCTCTGTTCCTAATACCTTGTTTTGAAAGCTTACATTGTTATTATTTTGAGCTCTTCATTGTTATTGTTTATCTCTCTTTTGTTTCTTGTTTTTCTTGTATTTTGTTTTGTATTTCCCTCTAACACAGAAAGAGTAGATGTCCATGTATAGCCTTATATATGTCTAGGACTTCTAAAAAGTTTGCAAAAATTGATTTTATTTTGTGATGGCATGAACAAGTACATTGAAGAAAATGAGACATCATGATAACCATTACTGATTTCCTATTATTTTGTTTTGCAGTTCAACAATGCATATATTCTTTGTTTTAATTGGTTTTAGTGTTTTTTATTATTTGATGTCAATATGTGTGAAATTATGGACAGATATCTATTTTGAAGAAAACGAGACAATATGGTAGCCATTACTGATTTCCTATTATCTGATTTTGAAGGGTTTTAAGGCTCTGATTTGTTTTGATTAGTTTTATACTATTTTGTTTTATATTAATTTATTATATGTGAAGATATGTACAACTATTTCAAAAAAAACAAGAGACATTATGGTAGCCACTGTTGATTTCCTGTTGTCTTGTTTTGAGATGCTATGTTACTTGCATTGTTTTGCTCTGATATGCTTTGTTCTGTTCTGTTCTGTTTTATTCTCTTTAAAATAAAAAATAATTCTATAAAAAGTGATGAAAACCTATTCAAAAGGTCGACTTTATGAAAAATTAGAGGCCAAACTTGTTGCATCATAATTGATTGATAGAAGTTCATGATGAGATCTAGCGTTGAGTAGCTTAATATCTATTTTAGTCTCTTTTGCTTTTAAGGCAAAATGGAGGCTCATAAAAAGGGATGGCTTGAGGAGCTTTTTTGCTGTGACTTTCACTGGGGTCCCGGTTTGAATTGATGAGGAATATAGCTTTCTTGGAATGTGCTGATTCTCCTTTGAATTCAGTTTGAGGAATGTGTTTGTGACTGTTGCCATACATTAAGACATATTCCCACTTGATGAAGCACACTAATCCCAATTATACCCACAATTTTCTTGTGAAAAATTAAGAATAACTATGAGAAGTCATGACTCATTACTTTCACAGGCAATTTAAGGTGATGTACAGTGTGTCTGGATAAGGGTTGCTTTGTAATCATCTGTTTTAAATAATAGCAACTTCATAGAATAACTGAGTTACTCCAATGATGAAAAATGAATTCTTTGATTTTATTTCCCAACAGGGTACAAGTATGAAGGAGTAAAATTTGAGAAGGGAAATTGTGGGGTCAGCATAATGAGAAGCGGTAGGTTTGCATATGTGCAATTTTTATCTCTTTGAATGCATAGAAACAGTTGCTGTTTTCCAGGAGAGAGGTGGGCTTGTCTGTCCTAATTGCAGCCTACCTTTGCTTAAATCTCATTACCTGTGTTGCCTGTCCTCATGGTACCTATAGAGTCATGGCCTATGTGCTGCTAACTTTGGATAATTTTAACTGCAGAGCATTTTCCATAGTGGTGGTCCTATGAGCATGCCAGCTTTAAAAAAGATTCAGGGGAAGGTGAGAGAATAGGAGGATTCCATGCTACAGTTATAGGGAGAACAGTTTGAAGAATGAAAAAATATGGCATAGAGTCAAAAGTGAAGAACCTTTTAATTCCTGCCTGGAGAAAAGACTTGTTCTGTGTGTATTTCTGTTGCAGGGAACAGTGCTACTAAGACAAGAGATGGACTATTTAATGTATTTTTTTTCCAGCAATGGGGATTAAACTCAGTCTTTACATTGAGCTACACCCCTAACTCTTTTTATTTTTTTACTTTTTTTTCTTTTTGTTTTTCTCAGTACCGGGGATCGAACTCATGACTGCCTGCTTGCAAGGCAGGTGCTTGCTTATGCTGCTGAGCTTATAAATCCCAGCCCCTATTTTTTTTAATTTGAGACAGGGCCTAAGTTTCTAAGTTCCCCAGACTGGACTTAATCTTATTGTCATTTTGCCTCAGTCTCCCATAGTGCTAGAATTACAAACATGGACCACCATTTCCAGCTTTTTTTGTTGAATATTTTTAATTTTATATTTGATATGTATGTAACCATGTAAGGAAAACACCTAGCTGACATTATTAGTTCTAGGTGTTTCCACTTGCTGGTCTTATGAATGTTGTATTTGTGTTTGAGTCCAACTGACAAGCCTTCTAAATCAGCTATGTACAGCAAAATTGCATTCCTGTAATTAAAACCTATACCTATTACATGAGGATAATTACTTCCATTCAGCAAACTTGATTTTATTTTGTACAAGATTTGCTTTTTTCCTCACAAGTGATGGAAGTCTTACTTGCTTGCACTGGAAAGAAATAGATTTTTAAAATATAAATATTCCCTTTTCTCCCCTGGCTATGAAATTCTGTTTGAACAATTGAATACCTCAAGTAAATAGGAACTTTGTAGATATTAAGCAATGATAGCATTCTTAGGATAGTGCTTACAAACAGTGGAATAGTGTCTTGTTTCAATTCAGGTCTTTCCCTAAAGGTAATAGTGTTGGCTTAGGGTACTGCAGAGAATATTGATGGGCTTTTTAGTTCTTCTTGTTTTGTTTTGTTTTGGTGATGTATTTTATTTTTATTTATTTATTTATTTTTGGTGATGTATTTTAACACAGGGGTTTGGCATGTATTGTTCCACTGAGCTATACCCTCAGCCCCAACAGAATTGTTTTCAAACTTTTAATTTTTTTTATTTTTTTTTATTTTTGAGACAGGGTCTCACTATACAGCTCAGGCTGGCCTTGAACTTACTTTGTAGCCCAGGTTGGCCTCAAACTCACAGCAATCCTCCTGCCTCAGCCTCCTTAGTGCTATAATCACAGGTGTATGCCACCACACCTGGTATTGTTTTCAACCTTAATATCTACTTGTTGATTTTCATGTATGTATTAGAAAGAAAATTAGTTTTATGTTCACACTGGTGCTGTAAACTTTTCTCTAATCTCAGCCATTCAGGAGGCTGAATCAAGTGGACCACAAGTTTGAGCCAGCCTGGGAAACTTAGTGAGACTTTGTCTCAGAATTAAAAAAAAACCAAAAAGTTGTAACTAGCTCAGGGGTAGAGCACCCCTAGGTTCAATTCCAAGTACTGCAAAAATTAATTGAAACAAAAATAGTTAATTTAAGAAAAATAGTCAAAAAAGATTAAAAAAATGAAATGCAGCTGGGCATGGTGGCACACTCCTGTAATCCCAGCACTCAGGAAGCTGAGGAGACCAGCCTGGGCTACAAAGTGAGCCCAAGGCCAGCCTTAACTACATAATGAAACCCTGTCTCAAAAGACAAAAATTTAGTAAGTTAATATAATAAGAATACTGGTTTAATTCAGATGCAGCCTAAAATCTTGAAGATTATGTAAGAATGACTGACTTTTGACAAACACTTCCTTAACAGAATTTATATGCAAAAATAACTTTAGAAATTAGGGTGATACGGTAGACTGTGTTCTGTGGGAAAGAGAATACTCTTTCACTGTCTCCTGCAAAACCACTGGTGGTAAAGTCAGTGTTGAACTAGATGATGTCTCCTAATACCTTAATCTAAAGGGAGATGCTTTGGTTTACAACTCCTATTCTACCATATATATTTTACGTTTTCTAGGTTAAAGTGATAAGTTGAGATGGTTTAAAGACTTCTTTTTTTTTTTTTTTTTTTTTGTCTTTTTCCTTTTTATCGGTACCGGGGATCGAACTCACGACTGCTTGCTTGCAAGGCAGGCGCTTATGCCGCTGAGCTAAACCTCCAGCCCCGTTTAAAGACTTCTTATAAAATAACAGCGGTAAAAGTGTTCCTTATATTGAAAAAGCTCAGGGAGCAACTCAGCAAAACACTTTATTTCATGTAAACATAGAAGTTTGGCAGCTGTAACACCTGTAAACCAGCAATAAAACTAGCTTGTCTTAGCATCATTGATCAGATTTTAACTTAGTTTCATTGACCTGAACTAAAAATAAAACAAATATATCAAATGAGAAAGCTGTAGCTCCAGAAAGTTTTCTTCCTTTTTGGTAGGGTCTTCTTTGTATTACTAAGGGTCATAAACTCTGCTTTGGTCCATTTCTGACTTTCTCTCTTCTCCATCCCTTTTTTACTTGTTTTCTTTATAATTTCCTTCTTCAAGGTGAGGCAATGGAACAAGGATTAAGAGATTGCTGTCGATCCATACGAATTGGAAAGATTCTGATTCAGAGTGACGAGGAGACACAAAGAGCCAAAGTATATTATGCCAAGTTCCCACCAGACATTTACCGGAGAAAAGTTCTTCTTATGTATCCAATTCTCAGTGAGTGATTTATTTTAGTTTGTAATCTTTCGTTAGGGTTTAAATTCAGTTTAGTAGCTGAATTTTCTAAATGTGTGTTTGTTGGTTGGACTTGGAGTTACCCTGAACAGCTCACTGGGGAATTTTCATTATATAAGAAGGGTATATACTGTGTGCATTAGTCAAATTTTATTAACTCCAAAGAGCTCTGTCTTGAACTAACCATATTAAAGCAAATGACCTAATAAGGCAAAATGTGTAGAACACAGACAATATATTGAAAAATTTCCCTTGTCTAGCCTACTGAGTACAACAGATATTTTCTCAAGGATTTATCTTCTCTGGAGGTAATATTTTTCTTTTATTCTCTTCTTTCCTAAGCTGTCACAAATCATATATGATCTCCCAGGGAGGTAAAGGGAATTTGTTAAATTTAATAGCTCAAGTACTAAATTAATTTAGAACTTACACATTTGATAATTGTGTGTTATGTTCATTATTGGAAATAACATTGATGAAGAACAATGATACCTTTAGATGAAATTTCGCCTAATGGTATCTAAGTTAGATTATTATGTTATATTTCAAAGTCATTTTAAAATGTTAATGTTGCTGATGCATTGTGTTGTCTCTTGACTTCAGGCACTGGAAATACTGTCATTGAAGCTGTAAAGGTTCTTATAGAACATGGAGTTCAACCTAGTGTTATAATCCTACTCAGTCTCTTCTCTACTCCTCATGGTAAGTTCAGCGTGAAGCATTAACTAGAGCTTCATGTGATCATGAGATGGGTAACTGTGACTGTCTAGCCTCTCATCCTGTGGAAAAGTTTAGTTAACTACATATTAAATCTAGATCTGATTTTGGTAGTTATAAGTTGTGTTTCTGATCTCTAAACTTTTTTTTTCGGTACTGGAGATGGAACTCATGATCTAGCACTTACTAAGCAAGTGCTTGAGCTGTTGAGCTATATCCCAGGCCCCGTCTAAACTTTATGATAATATTTTATCCCATTTTTTTAAGATGGAGTTTTGTGCTCTGGTCTTGAACTTCTGGGCTGAAGTGATCTCCTGCCTCAACCTCTCCATTAGTTGTACTACAGAAGCATGCCACCATACCTGACTTGTTCTGCACCATTCTAGTTTTCAGATTCAAATGGAGAAGTATGAATTAAGTCTATTAAAAAGAATTGGAATTGTTTTCCTAGTGTCCTTGATAGGTCCTAGACATAGCTAAAAGATCTTTGCTTCCTCTGGTTTACCACTGGAGAGCCAAACAACTTGTGGTTTTACTGAAGTAACTTTTATAGTAAAGTTAAGAGCTAAATTTTTAAAAATTAGATTTTGACTCTTAGGAGCAGTGAGAAAACTGTTTTCAGTTTCCTGCAAAAAATGTGTTTAAAACACTAGCTTTTTGCATATAATTTATGATAAATGGGATTATAACCTAAAAAAATAGTCATAGATGCACAAAGGAATTTTGTTTCTGGGATGTTCGCTGCAGTTACCTAGTATTAAAAGTTTGAAAATATATAATTGACCAATAAGGATATGGATAAATAAATGTACATTCCAAGGATATTTTAAAAAATGTTTATGGATATGAAATATAGAAGTAAATAGCATAAAATAAAAAAATAAAAAGCAACATAAAGAATAGCAATGTTGGAATACGGTGAAATATTATCACTGAGTTTAGTGATGATCTCCATAGTTTATTTTTTTCTTAACAGGGAATCGAACTTAGGACCTTGTGCTTCCAAGGCAGGTGCTGTGCCGTTGAGTTGTATCCTTAGCCCAGTTTATGTCTTTTTTAACTACCAAAATGAGACAGGTTTAATGATACAGAACCTAGTAAATCTTTCCTCAGCATTAGAGGTTATGCAGATACCTAATACTGTTTCAATTTTGGTTTCAAAATACACAATAATAATAATGATTATTTTAGTACAGTAAGATTCTAAGTGACTCATTATCTTTAAGTTTTTTGGGGGATCTTTTCTAAATGTTGTACAGTGAATTCATGTTTGCTTCATAGATGAAAATAAAGGTACCTTCTCTAAGTCAGGGAGTTTCCTCATTTCCAGACATTCTAAGTTGCAACCACAAGTTACCTAGTTAGGAAGTCTGATTTTCAGTAGGTTGCTGCGTAGGATTTGTGGCCTATTTGATAATTGTATTGTTTTGTAACAAAAAATTTCCTGTAGTTCAAACATTGATGATGACAAATGATTTGCTTGCTCATCTCACATATATGGTATATATGGTATGTTTGGTATATATGATTATATGATATATATGTTATATATATATACACACACACCTCAGTTCAAGAATGCTTTTATTTGTGAACAATTTGGTTTGCAAACAGAAACTTTTGGCAAAATTTTGTTTCATTTGCAAACTCTGTATAAGGTGACAAACACAACCATAGCTCTTTTTTGCACAAACACGAATGTGGCTATTTTCCTTAGAATTGTAGAACAAATTAAATTTATGAACCAAAGTATAAGGTGACAAACACAACCATAGCTCTTTTTTGCACAAACACGAATGTGGCTATTTTCCTTAGAATTGTAGAACAAATTAAATTTATGAACCAAAGTAAGTATGATATATATATATATATATATATATATATATATATATTTGTATATATGTATATGTATGAATGACACTCGTAGCACTGAAAATATTGAGATAATTCAGTAACTATTCTCCTATGGGAATGGAAAAGTAATCTCTTTACTTCTAAAAGTATTCATTAGAATAACATACTATTGTTTGACACTGTAGGTGAAAAAAGTGTTATTCTGTGGCAGCACTTGCTATGGCTTTTTTAGTTTTACTAGGGTCTAAGTCAGTTCTAATTTCCTCCTTGTAGCCTATTCTCCAGAAACTAGACTCCTTACTTCTAGAAACCTAGCTTGCTCTGACAAATGCAAGAAGTGTTTGCAAGTGTTTCACAGTGTTCCATTCTGGAACCCTTTATTTTATGTGTGATCCTCTTTCTCTTTAGGGAAGATTGGATTCATTCATTCTAGCCACCTTCAAAATAAAGAAACAAACAGTCTTCTGAGAAAAGTTACCATAACAATATATTTTCAACTCTTGGATGTAAAACAATTTGATTTTAAGAATTTGTTGGTGAGAGGGGAGGGGCATTCTTTGAATATTGTCTAAGTCTTTCACACATCAGACATTACATAAATAAAGAGATTATCCACATCTGACCCAGTATCTAAAGGCCATTACTGTCTGTCCTCTGTCAATATTAGACATAGTAACAATAACTGTAAAATTTCTGAATCTTCACTAGTGTTACCAACAATTCTGACATAGTAACAATATGTCTTCTACTTTTTGAAGGTGCCAAATCAATCATACAAGAATTTCCAGAGATCACAATTTTAACTACTGAAGTTCATCCTGTTGCGCCTACACATTTTGGACAGAAATACTTTGGAACGGACTAAGTTATTGCAGGAAAGTGAAATATCTTATGTAATATGATGGTTATATTTTGATTTTCTATTTGTTTTACTAATTTGAGGAATGACAAAAAATGGTAAAGATGCTTTGAAAGTAGGTATAGTAAAAATGAAAATTTTAAAGTATTGATTTTATTTAGTTATTTCTTAATGGTTAGCACCAAATTCTACAGTAAAGCACATACACAATCCTTAGAAAAGATGGAAATTTTAATAATACAAATTGATGAACCCTGAGTGCATTGCAGTTGTTTCCTAATTTGTGATTCTTAGTTTAGGGGTTGCTTGCAACCACAAAGAAAATCTAAATAAGAGTCAGTTCGTTGGCCCACTATAGTTTGTATTTTGTTTAGGGTGCTTTTAGCTCTAATAATGTTTCATGTATGTGACTGTTGTCATCTTTCTGTACTCTTTACTTCTTGGCTTTGTAAATATTGGTAACTCAGAGAGAAAAGAAACAATATACCTTTGGGGATTTTATATTTTGCTTAATTATTCAAGTCATAGACCCAGGATGTGTGGTTAACTTTTTAGTCAGGTCATTATGTTTCTCATGACTCTTTATCCAAACTATACATTATTGGTACATGCTTTGCCAAACATTATGGTGAAGAAAATTACTGGGCTCTTTTAGTAACTGGCACTTTAGCATAAATTGATAGTGACAAAACCAGGGATATCTAAATGCTGACAAAGGAGAACTGAGTACTGTTAATGCTGTCAATCTCTAGAAAAGAATTTGTAGTGGTTTTTCTGAGGGGTGGGGAAATAAATGTTTTTTTTTTTTTTGCTAGAGATCATGGCCAATAACTAAAGTATCATTTTAATATGAATGTTTCTACTAGAAGTCTTTGATTTTAAAATTAGTTATTTTGCATGTTTGTCAACTGTACATTTTTTGCAATGGAGAAAATATATTCTTTTTAAAAATTTCCATGATTTGTATTTGTTCATATTTAAGCTTCTGAAAGAGAGAGATATCATTTTAGAAATCAATCTTGGTTTCTAAAATTTGCTTGTGAAACCTTCATCCTATTTTACACTAATAATAAAATATTTTAACAATGGTGGCTGGCTCATTACTTGATTAATTATACTCTCGTGGCCCCATAGGCAGCTGTTATGGGCCTCTGTTCAAAAATACCTAAAAGAGCAGAAGACAGTATCTAGAATCAAAGCTGATAAAAGTCAGCAAAGATTTGTTGGAGAAAAGAGACCTGATACAGAATGGATTGTTTACCTTTGGAGCTGGAATACTAAAATAGCTATTCTATTTTTCCCTTTATTTTGGAATACTGCTGTTTAATTAGCTGAAATTAATGGTTAAATTATTCCCATTACAGTTCTTCCTTGGCAAATGTTGACTTCAGGTTCTTCTTGAAATTCTCATCTATTTCAGTTTAATGTTTTGATACAGTGTGGATTTTGTTTAATCCTTGCTGGTAGAAGCTGAAACTAATGTCATTGTCATACAAACGAGGATTGAACCAAGGGTCTTTGCACTGTAATACATCCCCAATATTGTATTTGTTTTTTACTTTGAGGCAGAGTTTCTAAATTTCTCAGGCTGTGCTCAAACTTATAGTCCTCCTGCTTCAATCTCAGTGCTCGGATTATAGGTGTCTCCCATTATGCCCATCTTGCAACTATAGTTAATTAAAGACAATCTTCATCTTCTTGCCTCAGGAAAGATATGAGCCAGCATCCAAATTTGCATAAGTTTGACTGTTACATTGAATTAGTTGGAAAAAAAGATGCCTACCACTGCAGGAGTTAGTACTTCTGAATTTGTGCTTATATTAGGAATTCAAAGTTTGTTTGAAGTGACTTTCCAGAACACCAGGTAAATTTGTATTCAAATGTAGTGTAAAATCATATTTCAAGCAAATTCTCTTCATGTCATTATTTTTTTTAAGATATAACATGCCTTTGGTTCTTTTTATTAGTGAGGCATGTTTGGGAATTGGATACATTTGGTTCCCACATGGATGGCCTCATAAACAGTAGGAATTATTCAATGGGGTGGTATTCACTGATGCTTATCCTCTATATCCCTGTAGATTTCCAAAGAAATTACAATCCTTTTGGAATGTTGGTATTTTTTAACAAATGAAACATTACTTGGAGGGTTAATCACACAATTTTCTAACATTGGTGCAAGATTACCAGACTATTCAAAACAAAATTGTTTCAAGTGATATGAACTTCAGAGCAGTATAAATTGGATACATGCCTTATTAAAAAAAAAACCTATTGGGCAGTGTGCTGTGGCAGACACCTATAAAACTGGCTGTTTTGGAAGCTGAAGCAGGTGGATTGAAAGTTTGAAGTCAACCTAGACGGATTTGCATAGATCCTGTCTCAAAATAGAAATTAAAAATGTTAGAGATATAGATCAATAGTAGACCATTTGCCTAGTAGGTATAAGATCTTGGATTCAGTTTCCAGCAATGCAAAACAAACAAATATATATATATATATATATATATATCCATCCCTAGCACAATAAAAATTTTATATATATATATATATAAACTTGAGTGAAAATCAGAATCCCCCATAGGCCACAGATTGCTGCCCCTATCCCTGGAGTTTCTGATATGTTTTTATATTGTCTTTGTGTTTTAACCTGCTAGTTCACTGATGGCAAATGTTTTTTTTCTCTTTGGTTATTTATTTTCTTAATTAATTAACTTTATTGGTACAGTTAACTATATATAATGATCACATTCATCACATGCAATTTGTATCTGTACATGATAATACCTTGATTCTTATTTTCCTCCCATTCCGACCCTCTCCATTCTTTCCCTCTTCCCCTTAGTTTCAAAAGCCTTATTCCATTTTATTTTTCTTTTCTCATTTTTTTCTTTTTCTTTTCATTTTCCTTTACTCCCTTCCTTATGCCCCTTCCATTTCAAAGTTTTCTTCCTGTTTCACAATATCTATTATACATTTTGTTCCTGATTTACACTTAGAGTTTCTCATTCCAGAGAAACAATGCAGTATTTACACAGATATGTCTGATTTATTTCACTTAACGAATATGGTCTCTTAGATGCATCCATTTACCTATAAAAGTCTCAAATTTATCCTTCTTTATGGCTGATACTACTCAGTTGTATTTTAAAAAACCATATCTTCTTTATCCATTCTTCAGATAATGAGTGTTTGGGCTATTTCAAAGATTTAGCAAAGGCTGGGGATTTAGCTCAGTGGCATAAGCGACTGCCTGGCAAGTGCAAAGTCGCAAGTTTAATCCCGGGCACACACACACACACACACACACACACACACACACACACAAAAGATTTAGCAAGCTGTGCTGCAGTGAACATGGGTATTCATGCATCACTGTGGTATGATGTGTATAATTATTTTGGGAAGATACTGAGAAGGAGGATAGCAGAGCCAAATGGAACTTTTAATATTATGTTTTTTGAGGAATCTTCACATTGATTTCCACAGTACTTGTACCCATCTACACTCCCACCAACAGTAGAAGTTTTCTTTTTCCCTACAGACCTGCTAGCATTTTTTTTATTGGTTGATTTCTTAGACATTCTTTCTGGAGTGAGGTAGGATCTCAGCATTCTTTTAATTTGTATCTCTCAAATGACTAGTGATGTTGATTGGTTTTTTTGAATATTTATTTTCCATTTGTACTTCTTTATATGAGAAATGTATATTAATCTCAGATGCCCATTTTTGGACTGAGTCTTTAAGTTTCGGGGTTTTGATTCTTTTCATTTATTTATATGTTCTAGATATCAGTCTTTTGTCCGAGGAACAGCTAGCAAATTTTTTTTGCCATTCTGTGGATTGTGCTTTACTGTTGTTAATTTCTTTTGCTGTGCAGAAACTTTTTTATAAAATGAGATCCCAGATGTTGATTTGTTTTAGTATTTCCTATGAAACAGGGAATTTTATCATAGTCTTTCCCTATTCCTAAGTCTTCAAGAGTTCTACATATTCTTTCTTCCATCAGATTGTTTCTGTTTTAATATCAGGGTCCTTTCCAAAATCCCCAACTGCCTGTATGAGGGATATAGTGAAAGGAGAAAATAAGAAACTGAGACTTTTTTAGTAATGCACATGGAGGGCTGGGCTCTCAGTGCCTCGGGATGGGCAGAGACAAAAAAATTCCAAACTAGCCACTATTTATTACCCTGTGTAAGGAAGGAGTACGGTGCTTTTCCTTGAACAGGCTGTGGTAGAATGGACAAGTTTAAAATGGTAAAGGAAACAAGATCAGTCCCCTTCCTGAATGCTGATCTCATTGACTGAGAAGATGATTCTAAGTTCCAAAACCAGCCCCTAAGGTAGGGAGGGCAAGGAAACCCTAAGACAGATACTATGTCAGTTTATGATTGCTGGTCCCCAACATTTAAATATTTAGATATTTCATCCATTTTGATTTTAGTTTAGTGCATGGTGATAGACATGGGTCCAGTTTTAGTCTTTGGCATGTGGAAAGCCAGTATTTCTAGCACTATTTATTAAAGAGGCTATCTTTCTTCTGGTGAGAATATTTGGCCCCCTTGTCAAAGATAAGGTGGTTAAGTATTGTGGAATTATTTCTGCATCTTCTTATCTGTTCCATTGTTTCTAAAGTCTGATTTGGTTTGGGTTGGGTTTTTGTGTTTTTGCTAGTACCACATTTTTTATCACAGTAGCTCTATAGTATAATTTCAAGTCATGAATTGTGATGCCCTCTGCGTTCCTTTTGTTGCTCACAATTGTCTTGCTGTTCTAGGTCTCCTCTGAGTAATGTTTCAAGTAATGTTTTCTCTTGTTTTGCAATGTATGTTGTTGGTATTTTGATTTGGATTGTATCAAATATAACAATTTTGAAAGCATGGCCATTTTTACTATGTTGATTCTTTGTATCTAAGAGCAAGACTTTTCTTTCATTCTTTTTTTTTAACCAGGAACTGAACTCAAGGCCTTCCACTTAGCAGGTAGGCACTGAGATACTGAGCTACATCTTTGGCCCTCCATTTTCTGATATTTTCATCCATTTCCATTTTTATAATATTGTAAGTGTCAATGTAAAGAAATTTTACTTCCTTTGTTAGGTTGATTCCTAAGCATTTCATTTTTTGATGCTATTATGAATGGTGTGGTTTCCTTAATTTCTCTGTTAGTTAGTTTGTTGTGTACAGGAATGCTATTGATTTTTGAATGTTGACTGTATCCAGCTATATGACTGAATTTGGTAATTAGATCTAGAAGCCTTTTGGTGGAGTTTTTAGAGTCTCCTATGTAGAGTATCATGTGCTCTGCAAATAATTATGCTTTTTTTCCTTTCCTATCTTTATTCTTTTTATTTATATCTCTTGTCTAATCATTCTGGTTAATGTTTTCAGAACTCTATTCAATAGGAGTGGTGATAGGCGATATCTGTGTCTTGTTATTTTTAGAGTGAAAGCTTTCAGTTTTTGTCAATTATGATGTTGGCTGTTGGTTTTTCATAGATGGCTTTTATAAGATTGTGATAAAGATCATCGTTTTCTCCAGTATTCTGTAGGGATTTTTATCGTGAATGGGTCTTTTTTAGATCCTTTTTCTGCATCTATTCAGATGATCATATGATATGTTACATTTATTAATTTGTGAATATTGGACCATCCCTTCATCCTTAGGATGAATCCCACTTGATGGTGGCATGTAATCTTCCTGATGATTTTCTGTGTTCTCTTTGCTAGTATCTTACTGAGAATTTTTGCATCTATGTTTATTAGGGCAATTGACCTGTAGTTCTCTTTTGGTTGGATCACTCTGATTTTGTATAATACTTGTTTCTAGGAATGATTTGAAGTATTGCTTCAAGTTTCATTAAAAAATTCAAAGAGTAGTGGCATTAGATCCTTTCTTAATTTGTTGTAGAATTCAGCAATGAATCCATCAGGATCTGGGAATTTATTTGTTGGTAGGGTTTCAATTCAACTTAATTGATACTGCGTTTCTTTAGAATTTTTATATCTTCTTGATTCAGCTTTAGTAATTCATATCTATCTAGGAGTCTGTCCATTTCTTCTGTATTTTCCATCTTATTAGAATAAAA